ACAAGCATACAAGCATACAAGCATACTCCTCCCTGGAGAGCATACAAGTATACTCTTCCCTGGAGAGCATACAAGCATACTCCTCCCTGGAGAGCATACAAGCATACTCCTCCCTGGAGAGCATACAAGCATACTCCTCCCTGGAGAGCATACAAGCATACTCCTCCCTGGAGAGCATACAAGCATACTTCTCCCTGGAGAGCATACAAGCATACTCCTCCTTGGAGAGCATACAAGCATACTCCTCCCTGGAGAGCATACAAGCATGCTCCTCCCTGGAGAGCATACAAGCATACTCCTCCCCGGAGAGCATACAAGCATACTCCTCCTGGAGAGGCATACAAGATACTTCTCCCTGGAGAGCATACAAGCATACTCCTCCCTGGAGAGCATACAAGCATACTCCTCCCTGGAGAGCATACAAGCATATTCCTCCATGGAGAGCATACTCCTCCCTGGAAAGCACACAAGCATGCTCCTCCCTGGAGAGCATACAAGCATGCTCCTCCCTGGAGAGCATACAAGCATACTCCTCCCTGGAGAGCATACAAGCATGCTCCTCCCTGGAGAGCATACAAGCATGCTCCTCCCTGGAGATCATACCAGCATACTCCTCCCTGGAGAGCATACAAGCATACTCCTCCCTGGAGAGCATACAAGTATACTCCTCCCTAGAGAGCATACAAACATACTCCTCCCTGGAGAGCATACAAACTCCCTGGAGAGCATACAAGCATACTCCTTCCTGGAGAGCATACCAGCACGCTCCTCCCTGGAGAGCATAGAAGCATACTCCTCCCTGGAGAGCATACAAGCATACTCCTCCCTGGAGAGCATACCAGCATAGTCCTCCCTGGAGAGCATACAAGCATACTGCTCCCTGGAGAGCATACAAGCATACTCCTCCCCGGAGAGTATGCCAGCACACTCCTCCCTGGAGAACATACTTCTCCATAGAGAGTATACAAGTATACCACTGCAGATATGCTGGCAGGGTCTTGGAAGGTACTGTGGGTGGGTAACAGTAGCTCACCAACCTCGCCTGATCATATGTGGAGATAATGAAGGCAGGAAATATCGAGGCGAAAGAGAAGGAAAGGGAAGGAAAATGAGAGGAGGAAGGGGGAAAGAGAGGGGAAGGAGGGAAGAAAGTAAACGGAACAGAGAGGGATGAAGGAGTGGGAAGAGAGAGGTGGGGGTAATTAAGAGGGGATGTGAGGGGACAAAATGGAAAACAGGCATAAGGAGGTGAGAAAGAGCATGGAAAGGAAGATCTGAGGATGGATAATATAGCAAAGAAGAGAAATGGTTAATATGATGAGGTAAGTGGGAAAGAAGACGGAAAAAAAAGGGTACTAAGATAAAGAGTAGAAAGAGTTGGAAAAACGATGAAGGCTCGATCCCTTTCCGCCCACTGAACCCACGACTTTCCAAAGGGGATCTGGAAATGTAACAACCAGCTGACGATTCATATCAAGAAGTACAGCAACATAATTCCCAAACTTATATTGCAACTCAACTTGCATCTTGGACATTATATATATATTATATATATATATATATATATATATATATATAATATATATATATATATTATATATATTATATATATATATAGGAGGTACCACCTCTAGAACTGTCCTAGGGACCCTCATCCTCAGAGAAAAGAATAAACTTGCTTCAGGCAAAACTCAAGGTTCTCCCTGAAGCTGCTTGAGAATTTTCTCCTACCACCCCTTATATTTAATATATATTTTATTTAAAGACGAAATACATTGACAAAACATTTGCAAAAATACAATAGAAAACTAAACAACATAGATAACAACTCAGAGCTACATTTCGAATACTTCGTCCAGCTCCCCGGCGGTGGGTCGCGTGCCCAGAATGCTGCAGGCACTTCCTCTCTGGATCGCAACACTGAGTCTCTGAAAGAGGAAGCTGGTCGCCCTGTGGTTCTTGGATTCTATGATAAGCTTTTCATCCAGATCTTTGAGGAACTTTAGAGCACACTTGCCCCATGCTCCAAGGGTCTCCTACCCTATTGGGATGAAGTTATAGCTAGGGCAAAGGTCTTCATATTTGCGGATCTTCTGGGTCTCCCTGTGGCTGGCAGCTCCACCCCCTTCAGCTAAGGAGTATGGCAAGTAGGTGTCTGCCAATGTGACAGCACAGGCATAGTCCCAGGCAATCTGCTTTCCATCCTTCCAGGGTAGCATAGTGGCTCCATCAGGACGCTTTTAACTTCCGTCAGACCTCTGTACTTGGGGTTCCCGTTGAGCTGGGCAACGGGCTGTGGCGAGGCTTCTCTTTATGATGTCATTGACCTCATGCCTGACATACTTCCCTTCTGCTGTGTGACACACGAGACCATGAAGTCCGAATTTATCAGCCGTCGCCCTGCCGCAAATACACCTATGTTCGGTGAGGACGGGGGCGGCTAGGCGAAGAGCAACACCAGTCCGAATGTCCTGTGGGTCTAGTCGAGTGCCCAGAGAGAAATTTTGAACAGCTAAAAGGAAATCTGAGTGTGGTGCCTTCATATATATATATATATATATATATATATATATATATATATATATATATATATATATATATATATATATATATATATATTTTTGTATATATATGCTTCTCCTACCACCCCCTATATATTTTTTTATTCTATGTGAACATTTATTAATAAACAAAATACATTTACAGAAAAAAACATAAACATGAATACAATGGCACAATGTATCAAAGATATGAATTTCCTCCAGCTCCTCCGAGGCTGGACGTGAGCCAAGTATGCAGCAAGCATTTCCCCTCTGGATGGCGACGCTGAGGCGCTGGAACATGAAAGTGGCTGCCCTTGGGTCCCTGGTGGTGTCGATGAGTCTGGAACCCAATTCTTTAAGAAAACGTGTGGCATTTTTTTCCCCATGATCCCAAGGTCTCTGATCCCACTGGGACAAATTGATACTGTAGGCTAATGTCCCTGTACTTGCTGATCTTGTACTCCTCCCTGTGTCAGCAGCTCCTCCCTGTCGCCCCACACTGTGATGGATATAGGTGTCAGCCAGTGTGGACACACAGGTATAGTCCCATGCTAAGAGCTTGCCATTCTTCCAAGGATAGATGTATATATGTATATATGTCGTGCCGAATATGTAAAACTGGTCAATTAGCTAGAACTCATTTAAAATTAAGATCCTTTATAAAATTTTCTCTTATATGTTTAAAGATATATTTTTTCATAATGTTAATGTAAAAATTTTTAATTTTGCTCCAAAAGAATCTTAGAAAACTTACCTAACCTGATTATAACAAGAACAATTTATTTAAGCCTAACCCAACTAAATATATTTTAGATTTGTTTACAATAATTTAATACTAAACAAGCACAGTGAAATGTTTTTTTTTCGTTAGGTTCAGAATGATTTTGGCGAAATTATTGCATACACAAATTTTCGCTTGTCCTATATGGCAAGATGAGCGTTGCTATTTAAGCCAAGATCGCAAGTTCTGCCTATTCGGCACGATATATATATATATATATATATATATATATATATATATATATATATATATATATATATATATATTATATGTGTGTGTGTGGTAAATTAAAAGTAAAATTACTTGATGTTCACTTTTAAATGAGTATTATACAACAATATTCTTTTGAGAAATTATCTGCATAAATATTTAATAAGTGTAAAGGTCACCAAGGATACTTAATTAAATTTAAGTCTTTTTTATAATAATAATAATAATAATAATAATAATAATAATAATAATAATAATAATAATAATAATAATATAATAATTAATAATAATAATAATAATAATACGCTGTATTCCTAAGTATTTTTCTTCATTGATCAATTTAATAATCGTATTCTTATAAAACATTAACAAACGTATGCTATATATCTTTATTACTAATAAAATGGTATTTCACTTAAAAAGGTAAATGCAATAAATACCGAATTTTGCCACAGTTAAAGTTCAAGTTAAACTGGGGATTAATTTTATGAAACGATGAATGACAGGGAAGGGGGGGGGGGAGATTTTCTGGCAGTCTCCCCAGAGACCCTGTAAGGGTGGGGCGTCCTTTTCCGAGACCCCGAACAGGGTGGGACGCCCTTCTCCGAGACTCCGAAAAGGGTGGGGCGCTGTTCCCCAACCCATAACAGGGGTGGGGCTGTTATTCTCCGACCATTAGCAGCGTGGGGAGTCGTTCCCCAGAGGTTGTGACTAACGCGGGGGTGCCCCTGGTCAGAAGAGCCACAATCATCTTCACTATCTCTCCGCCAATCACCGACCACCGCCCGTTATCCATCGACCAATCGCCTATCAGAAAGATGAGGATGGCGGATGGCTTCCGCCCAGCTATTAAGCCGTTTTCCTTTTTGGGTTGTGTAGCAATATTCCGCTTATAGCCTTTAGCATATTTTGCTTCGTACAGTTGCAGCCACAGCTGTGTCAGGGGAAAAGAAAAAGGTACGCTATTTTTGTTCTGTGCATGAAGCTTTGTTTTCCAAAGTGACAGGTATTCCATGGATGGTGGGGAGGTTTTGTTCCCTCAGTCAGCAGGCAAAATAATAGCTTGCGGTCTGGTGTCCTCAGCCAGCAGTCAAATTAATGGCTTGTGGCCGGCTGGTACAATTCCTGTTATGGTGTTTACGTGGGCGGTGTGAGCGATGGGTTTATGGTGATAGCTGCGGGCAGGGGTGAGCCGGGAGCTGTTGTGGAACCCTGCTAGCTCACCCTCTATACCGACGAATTTAAATATTTTATTGCCTTCGAAAAGAGCAATAAGTGTTGTCCGAGAGTTCTCTGTTCCGAGGGATGTATTTTCATGTTTTATTATTACGTGGTTGATAAATTTGATATAGTAGTGCTGAAAAGTTCATTCTTTCTCTTTCTCAAAATTCTTTTAAGATTTTTCAAAACTGAGGGCGGTAAGAGGTTTTTGTTTTAAATTTGACCCATTTTTTTTTATCTTGCAGGTACCTCGGCCGCTGTCTATGAAGAAGGAAGGCATTCAGACCCGGAACCGCAAATTGAGCTCTAAGTCCAAGAAGAAGAAGGGGATGCTAGGCTTCCCAGACATGCTGAAGCCCCTGGACAAAGGAGGCTTCGGTGGATTCGGCACTGGAGGTTTCGGCACTGGAGGCTCCGGATTCGGCTCCATGTCACACTACATGTACGGCGGACAGATGCACGGCTCCTCTATGGCTGGTGGCTTTATGTCGGCGCCGCCCGTGCATGGTATGTCCGCCATGTCTGGAGGCCTAGGAAGTTTAGGCCTCTCCTCCACCTCACAGATCCAGATCCCCTCCGCGTCGAGCTTAAGTCTTCCGTCGTCTAACAGTATAGTGGGCGCTATGGCCTAGGGACACGCCTCCGCCGACGGCCGCAGCAGCTTGCTGGCCAGCCTCAGCCGCGAGGGCGTCGCTGCCTTCACCTCCGCCGCCCAACCAATGGAGACTGCGGAGCCTCAACCCTCCTACAGCGGCGCCCACCTGTATTCCCCTCAAGGCGTGTCAAGCGCTTCCAGTGGGAACAGCAGTGGAAGAGGTGGGGCTAGCCAAATAGGGTGCGGGGATGGGGGCCTAAACAGTGGGTACCTTGGGTCATTACCCCACCACCTGGCCTCCTCCTCAGGCGCCACCTGATGCGGAGTTCGTTGCCGTCGCGCGGACCAACAAGATAGCCCAGCCGGTGTCCAAGTCTTTCAGGTGCTAGTGATAGACAGTGTGTCCAGGGTGTGGGTTCGCCACACTCACTCCAGCGTACTCTTCACCTCATTCCACTGACACTGTGATTTTTACCTTACCGAGGTCACTATTTATTTGAGTGGCGCGGGAGACGGAGAGCTGGTCTCTTGTGGGATTGCAGGACCAAGTCTTCTGTGCCACCGCTGCACCCGATATAGACATGACCCTCTGGGAACCTAATAAAAAAAACAATTCGTTACACACGATGACGCTGAGGACTCGACCGTTCGTGTTTGGTTGTCAGATCTTATTTGGCTCCTACAGCAGCGGCTGAGTAGTGCAGTCCACTTGTATCTCTTTATTTTACACAGTGGCAAATTCGGACTTTGAAGTCCTCCTTTAGAAACCTCAAATTAACCCCTGGCTTTTAAAGTCGGTTTCTGATATTAGTAGCATCTACTAAAACAGTGAATAATGTGTAAAACATGAGCCACGGTTAAGTGCAGACTCCGTCCCACCTGGGACGGGATGTTCAGAATTGTTCATCATTTGGCGTACGTAACGTGTACAGTACGAGAGGTGAGCTGTAGATAAGTGAATGTAAAATTGTTTATCTCTATAATTACTAGTCGGCTATTTTTATTATAAAGTGTTTTCCGATTACATTACCCTGGCCAACAGAGTCAAAACGAGATGAATACATTTCTTCACAACATAAGTTAAAGATACAATTTTTAAAGGGTTTCCTGATTTGTTGTACATGTGCTCTCGTTTGTGTCACTTATGAATGCTCCGAGCGTGACTCAAGTGGTAATGAGGACAGAAACAGAGGACACGTTCTTCAGCAATGAAACTGAGGAAAATGGCCTTTTGGACAGGTCTCAGGTCCCCTCCCCCACTTCCTCACCATGTCACGAAGAATGGTCATTCCTGGCCAGGGTAAAGAATATTTCTGTGGTTTCCGGAATATTTATGTAGTGCGCGATGATGCTTTCTCTGTGAAGTATCTCATTTGTTTTAACCCTAAATAGCATTGAGAGGAGTCTTGCATGTCTTGTGACGTACGCTCCGGTAGCAAGGCATTCCCCGGGGTGTGTGGCACTGGTGTCAAGGGATCACCTTAACTGCACGGTGCGACAGCAATTAATGATCCCCGTTTTCACTACCGGATGTGACACCATGGTTCTCAGTGAATTATGTCCGCACTGTTGTCATCACTTTTCACCGTTGCTGGTACAGCAACGGTGCCACGCATCGTGCTGCAGCCGACACCGCACCAGTGCTAACGAACGCACCGTTGTCTGTACCACAGCTGCGGCTGTTCTACAACGTGCCAAACGCCAGACACCAGTTCGCAGCCATCAGGAACCACTCCTAAACACTATCAGAAACTGTACCGTTGATTCAACGCAAGCGTATCATTTTTTTTTTCAGACACTGCACCATCGCGAATCACACCGGGTCCCAGAGGAGGCCTAACCTACCGAGCGTGTATGCCACTCCTGTAACTTTATACTGTAAACGAGAGAAGTCTTGCTTCTCTCCAGCCAAGGGAATCATTCTTATGTTAAAGGAAGGTCACAGGAATTATAATCCGCGCCGATGACGGGGTCGACGATATTCATTGTCAGTCTTCTGGTTCCTCGCGTTTTTTTCTCCTTCTCTTTTATTATTATTATTATTATTATTATTATTATTATTATTAATTATTATTATTATTATTATTATTATTATTATTATTAATTATCATTATTATTATTACCTGTATTCCTTATTATTACAATTATTA